CCAACCAAGAGGTAGCACAGGCTGAGCACCCAAGTTCTCCCAACCAACAGGTAGCACAGGCTGAGCAGCCCTGTTCCCCCAAGCAAGAGGTAGCACAGGCTGAGCAACACACAGCATGTTCTTCTGAACCATGCTTAGCACCAGAACAAGCACAGCCATCATCATCATCTTCCACAAGAACTCCTGGTGAGCTTCCAAAAGCAGTTCATGCAAAAGCAGCAAGCAGTGCATGTTCAAAGAAGTTTTTTTTTTTGTGTGTGTGTGGTGAACAGCTTCACAGACATTCACAGGACAGTTTCATTATACAACTTGCTTTTCCAATCTAAGGAAGTCAGCAGATCCAGAGGGCCCAACCTGCACTCATCTCCAGATGTACTGAGTTGCTTGGATGGCCCAGGATTCAGGTTCTCATTGAATAAGAATGACCACAGGTGGACAGTTTCTTTCAGAAAAACTGAGCGTTCTGTCCACTGGGAGGGCCAATACAAACAGCAAAGCTGTTCAAGGTCTTTCAATGCTGAATCAGAAAGTGATTGGCAAGAGAAGTTGAAGACAATACACCATTGGGCTTGGACAAAGTGGTCCCTAGCCATGGATCTGAATCTAGAACTTCCTGAAGGGAAGTCAGCACAAGAGCCAGGTCAAGTTGAAGAGTCTTTGTTCACAGCATTGCAGGGAGTGATTAAATCACTACCTGACAAGACTGTCTACCAGAGGAAGTGAAAAGAATTGTGGGCAGATTGGGTGGACACAGAGATACATTGTTTGACATTTCCTTGGCCTCTTGTGCTATATGTTGAAATATTTTTTTGTATTTTTTTGTATTTTTTTATATTTTTCCCTAGGTTTTCATATGTTTCCTTATATTCAATATTTTTATATATTTTTTTCTATGTTGGGATCCTCAAGTGAATAGTAGCCCTGTATTAGTATCCCAGGGTCCATGAATGAAATGAGGGCTGAGGCTGCAAGTCCTAAGCAAAATGCAATTGGGCCATACGGGACATCATCTGTCTGTCAGCACGAAATGCGGTCACAGCACTCATTAGAAATCCAAAAAGAAGCTGCAGCAAAAACAGTCTTCGACATAGAAGCTTGTATTGATCGGCCATGCTCATTGCTGCAAAGTAATCCTTCCATGCTTCCTCCAGCAAGCGAGAGCCTTTGATATCATTTTCATCCGGCAGTCTACTCAACATTGCCAATCTCATCACCTCTTTCCGAACCCTCAAGAAATTGCTGTGCACATTTACAGAAAAGGAGTTCTCAGAAGACAGAATCTCGCGGACCCAAAAAGTCATTGCTGCTATTTGTTGCTCATAGGAAACATCATCGACTTCCTGTGGGCGCTTCTTGAGCTCTCCTCCCTCTCTCAACTCACTTTGGAGCTCATCTTTTTCGTTCTGCAGGACATACCGGGCATCTGCAAACATCTTCTCTGCCAGCCACGCAGCAACTTCACTGCGGTAGTCTCGCTCACTTTCCTCAATAAGATCCCTCCTGGGCCTTGGATCTTGGTCCCCCTCCTCCGAGTCAGAAGAACCATGCAAATCCGTAGACTGCTTACGAGCGTTTTCAAAGAGATATCGGAAGCATCGAAACAATCCACATCCACTGCATCTTCTGTATCTTCGCCTCTCGCTGATTGGATTGCTCTCGCTGACAGTCTCGAGATTGCCATCAAGCTCCATGTCAAAGCTTTCCCAGTCACCACCCAGGATGTCGTCAGCGGCAGAGAGGTCGGCAGTGATAGCCCTGTCAACAGGGCTGATTGGACTTGAAACCATAACGGACACACCAGGATCAGGAGAAGTCGCGGAAGAGTCAGGAGACGAAGCTGCATGTACTTCGGTCTTTTCATCGTCTTTTTTCCCAAAAGTCGTCAACAAATCTTGATTGCGTCGTAGAAAACTCCACCCTCGCTGGCCTTCCCCACCTTTGGAGGATGTTCCTTGACGGTCTTCATCTTCACGTCCTTCAGACCCTTGGGCTGCCTTGGGCCACGGGAACCTGGAAGTTGAAGAGTTCAAAGAAGGAAATATCCCTTCAGGGCCGTTCAGTCCAATCTTCCGCGCTGCGAATGCAGCATTTTTGGTCCACTTCATCTTCTTGCCCAAGTGCGCTGACCTGAATTCACGGACATGTTGCAATATCTTCAAAAAGTAAGCAATGGCACAAGCGTCCAAAGTGTCAGCCACTCTTGGCTGTTGAAGTTTTAGTAGTTCGGTGTCCTTCACGAAACCTTCCTTAGCACTTTGAAGCATTTCCCGCGCAGCATTTGCCCTCTCCATCGAAATCAATTCTCCTTTTGAAGGCCCAACATAACTCCTCCGGCGCACGTCCACCCAAAGGACAGGCATGCCGGCAACAAGGAACTCCAAAGTAGAATGCAATGCACTAGCATCGACACTGGCACGTACACTTTGAAGTGTATGTCTATCACCACCGCCAGTCTTTACAGCAAATACTGGCAGGCGCTGCCACAAATGCTTCACGAGGTTTCGTACAAGGTTGTTATATGGGATATATGCCTCAAGGTGTTCATCGGCATCTTTTGCTGAACCACCGATAGAGTCTACGATGAGATAGTTCAAAGATGAGCTGTGCAAATCGAAACTGCGGGGTTTCAGCGTAGCTGTGTTCGTTGCACCAGCTTGAGCGCCATCTTTCTTGTTGAAACAGTCTCTGATGGATTGATCACGGCTTTTCCACTTTTTTGAGCCCTTCTGGATTTTGTGCCAAAAGAGGTCTTCCTGGGAGTCCTGCCGCTCTGAACTGTACAAGTGAAACATGTGAGCCGTTGTGCAAATGATGGTGAAGGGAGGGTGATCTGCCCACGTTTCTTGCCTTGTAGACACTGCTTTGAGGAGCGACTCTGTCAATGCCTCAGCATAGTCAGCTGCAAAGCGTTAGCTACCCTCTACGAGGCGCTGCTTCCACACTTTTGCCTCTTCGCATCACAAAACGCCGTACTTACATGTACTTACCTTGCTTTGCTACGTTTTAGGGTTGCGGATTGTCAGCTCAGCTTAGGGTAGGAGAATGGACCAAAGTGGAAAAGTTCAGCAAAGGTAAGCTGAACATGTTTTCTTCTTTGCGTTCCTCAACTGTACCCTGTTCTGCTTGGCTCTCCCAGATTGTGCTCTACTCGACAGAAATTACAAGAGGCGGAGAATCAAGGGTATAAGACAAACTGATGCCCTCCCACACTCTGCATAGAAGGAACAGTTGGACAGGGGAGTGATTCTGCGATCCTGGTTACTAAGGTGCTGGCACAAATTGGGCTAAGACCTGTGCAAAGGATCATTGCATTCGTTTCAATGGCAAGAGGAAGCACAATTTCTGACATAAACCGATCCAAGCGTTCTTCGCAATCTCGTCCTCTCTTCTGTTGTTCTTCGCCCACAACTTCTACTGACAGTGGAAAGTCTGCTTTCGTTGGAAGTCGCCCTCCGAGCGGCGTTTGAGCAGGGCTGTTCGGAACCAGTTCAATGTCAAATGCCTTCAAATGCTCTGCCAAATCCATGAGTTTCACCCAGTCTCTGCAATCAAACTTCATAATCTTCTGTTTCGCATCAGCCGGCCCTTCCTCAACTTTGACCCCCGTGAAGGGTCTAAAATGCACTTCTTTCCCCTCCTTCTTGTAGTCGCCAATGCGCAAACGATTAGCTTCAGTGTCAAGGTTTTTGAAGAAGCCCCGCTCCTCGTTGTCTTTGAACACGAGCCTATCTTTTTGCAGCTTTAGATCTTGAACCTTGCCTCTGATTGATAGTTTCAAACTATCAAGCCCAGCTAAGCTCTCGACCTGCTTGACATTGAGAGGAAAAATATCTCCGTTGGCTTTGCGAATGATGCGTTGAAGCTTTCTTTGCGCGTTCCCACCGCGACCCTCAAAATAAGATCCCAATGCGCTGCAAGCACTGTTGAGCTTTTTTGGCCAGTCTGGCTCAAGAGGCACTACAACAGTCCCGGATGGAAAGGGTGGATGTCGCGGTACGTAACCAGCTGACTGATGCTTGATGGAGAACTTCTCAACTGCACAAACATGTTCATTGAAGCCTTTGGACATACAAAGGTGGATCACCAACTTTGGCAGTCTTGGAACAAAGCCCTCCACGAGCTTGGAAAGGCTTTCATCAGACCGGGATATCCTATCAGCACTTAAATTCTTCAGAAACAAGACTTTGCGCTGAACTCCTTCAACATCGAAGGTCTCGAACATGCTGTCGTGCACCAAACCAGCTCGTTCATACTCGTCTTGGTCTTCAACATGGGAAGCTTCTTTTAGGTTGGACTGCCTGGAACCCGAGTCATCGTGAACTGAGTTAGTCTGGAGAGCCTCATGTTTTTCCTTTTCATTTATTGGAGTCTCACTCTTCGCAGCATTGGCCTTCTTGAAAGCTCGCCTCGAGCTGGGCCCAAACCCTTTCTTCTTGGACACATGCTGTGAGCCCTTCATGGCACATGGTGCAAACCCATATGTGTGGCTGTCAAGACTCCCTGTCTCATCTCATGCCATCATAGAATCATATACGTTGGGGGGTCCACACCTTCCTGCGTTTTGGGCAACTTTAGACTTCAGCTAGGAATTGCTCTCTTTTTTGATGGTAAACATTGATTTCAACTAAACAAACCGACGTGCAAAAAAGGCACCACTTTTGGGAGGCCCCATCGCTTTCCTAGGATTTTGCAAACTCTTCAGCTTGAAGGAGCCCCAGCTGAACCGACACTTGTGTTTGAACCGACACTTCGGCCAAGTACGAAGTGGCTAAAATTGTTGAAGCACAAAGACTCATGTATATAGATACAAAATGATACACTTAAAAGCGACAAAGAACATCGGACACATATCGAATTATCGAATCTTGATCCTGCTGAATGCCACATGTCGCCGCGTGACATGTGGCACCGTTCCACCTGGAAAGCCCTCAAGAGGGACTAGAACGCTTAATTATTTTGCTTGCTTTTGGCATGCTGTTGGAGTGGCCGGATGTGGCTCAAGGCACGTGTTGTGACTTGCGATCTGACCTTTCCGCTGACAAATTCAGCCAAATTCGAAGTGGGTTCAAGTGCGCAAGCTGTGAAGTACTTCGTCTGTGAAAAGCGAACGAATCAAGCCGGCTATCCCTGGCCTTTCAGTCGGACGTTCCGACGTTCCATTCATTTCGCAATGGTGCGAATACATGCTGTCTTCCATGACCATCCGCAGGCTTATGCTCTCAGTAGCTTCCACTGTTTGTTCAGCTTTGCTTCATTAGCAAATTCCCGGCCCATCTGTGGCCTGCAGTGTGTGCGTAATGCCGACTGCCCACAACCTATTCTGGCAAATCACCGGGCGCTGTCAGTTGCTTTGGAAAACAAAAACATCGCGACTCTGCACATGCAAGGAGCATGCTGGAGGGCACTCTGAGAAGCACACTTGATTTGCGCAAACTTGATCGGGCGAAAACACATAAAACATCTAAGGCCTGCTTAAGGAGCACGTCTGACACAGAAAAGGATAATAAGTTAATTAACACACTTTGAAGCGCTAGCACCCTGGCACAAGTCCCATGATTTGGTTGCACGAGCCTTGGAGCTATTGTATTTAGCTGAGATGGAATCTATGCGATACCAGGTTCTGATGATGTGAAACCGAAATGCAAACTTTTAGATTCGGAGTGATGAGATCTTCAAACAGAAGAAGCGCAAGAAGTTTCAGTCCTGTAGTTTCTGTGGATTTCGCAGTGGCAACCCTTCTCTTGAGATGGGTTGCCACTGCTCATGATGGTAGAAAAACGAAGTAAGGAACATGTTGGAACCGACTCATTTCGTTGATTTCGTGTTCAAGCAAAAGATCAAGCTGCCAAGCAAAAGATCAAGCCCCCGGAACCCTTGTTTTATCGCCCTTTGCCCATCGAATGTTCTGAAGCGATCAGGAAGCCAACTCCTGAAACGGATGGGCCGCGTGCAAAGTTCGTTCGAGATAAAGCAGATCGAGCCTATATTAAATAACAAGTATTGCACTGCATGTCAAGGGGTAGTGCAGGAGCCCCAGGAAAGCTGAGTCTACAAGAAGGCACACACTCTGAAAAATATTCATATAATTCAGATAACTATAACCGGTTTGTCTTATCATGGTCACTCCAACATACCCCAACCAGCAAGACAAAGAAGCTGGCACACAAGCAAGCAAGTTGATCTGATGTTGCTCCTTTAAGGCCGCTTCAAAAGGAATTCGGATGAATTGCAAATGAATTCATGATTACTGTTGGGCTTGCCAAGCTTCGATCTCCAATCATCACGCACCTTTGAAGGTTGGATGCCAGGTTTGGACTGGTGTGCGTAGGCAAGGTTGAGCCACAAACTCATTTTCTGCCTAAGGCACGCTGCGTGCGTATTTCCACTAACCACTTCGGGCATAAGACCTGGCAAAAGGATTCCAACGGATTCCAACGAGGACGCTACTAGTAGCTCCTGGCCATACTACTAGGAGCAAGGACGCTACTAGTAAACTCTCAGAGTCAATCCGAACTACACAAGCGCCTGCGTCAGCTACTCGAAGATTCTTCACCTAGGCTCGATTTGTTTAAAAAAAGAATTGTTCAACCATGGCATGGTTCGCTATTTTGATCTATTTTGGCTACCTTCTCTTCGAAAAATATTGTGAAAGCACTCATTGAGACCAAAAAAGGAGACGAGGAACCCCATGCACTCGACCTTCCGGATCGCAGACCGAGTCTTTCTCTGTGATGCCCATCCGAGTGGTGCAGGAGTAGTGCCAAGTCGTCCTGGAACTGCTCCGCACATAGTCACTAATCTCAGCCTGCGCTGCAACGCAGTCACCATCGGAAAAGGCGAATTACCCTAGGATCAATGTAGAAACGTGAAATGTGTGAAGAAATCGTATTTCGTAGCGGCGTCCACAGAAGCATGCCGCCATGCCTCACCAGCGTCTGCTCTTGGAGTCGATGGATGAAATTTCTCAAGATATTTTGCAAAAGAAGGGGCAGCAAAAATGCGCATCATCCGCCTGAGCTGTCTAGCCGTAAATCGCGAATGAAAGTGCATCTGACATGGCTTTTGACTCAACTTAAATTGGACATGTAATTTGTGGCTACAATTCAAGGCCTGAAGGCTTCCACCATGGCATCCACATCCTCCTTTTCAGAGAAGTAGTTGGGATCTACCACGGGCAAGACATGAGGATCTGAGCTTTGCAGTGACACGGAGCCTGGTTGAAGCAAGGAAAACACATATTATACATCTAAAACATAGAAAACACGATGAAAGGTGCACACACACACAGTGCTGAGTGCTGAGAGAGAGAGAGAGGAAAACAAGTAGAAACAAATCAGAGCCAACACAAGACATGGTTGAGAAACACATCATAGGCGAACAAGAATAGGCGACATGTTCAGATTGGGAGCGCCTCGACTCTGTGGATGGTTGGAGATCGTCATGAGCTGACAGAGAAAGGCGAAGCAAATTCAAAAGTTGAATGCGTTTTTCTTTGGGGATTGGCTGACTGATTGACTCGATTTCTCTGCGACCAAAGAGGAACGGCTAGGCTCTGAAGTATTGTTTCTGACCTCACCTACAAATGCAGCTAGAAACGTGGCCTCCAAAGATCTTGCGAAAGCTTCATTGCCGTGGGATGTGCTTTCCATAAAGTGTCCCCACTGTACAGCAAGGTCTGCCAAAAACCGGCAGAAGAAAGAGGAGCGATAGTCGGCAATCCACTTGGAGAGGAAACCACCCAATTCATGAACTGTTACCTGGGCAAATGTAGGAAAGCAATGCAAAGCAGCCAGTGGTGACAAAATGAAAGCCCTTGTTGTGCAAATACCAAAAAAAACACTTGCAACGGAAACAGGACAACAACATCTGGGCAAAACTTTACAATTAACATCGCCGGACCCAGGATAACTCTCTGTGAATCTTGAAAATGTAAAAAATGCAAAAAACAAAGCAACAAAAACAACTCCAAAAAGCAAAAGCAAAAAGAAGCAAATCCAAAAAGCAAAAAAAGCAAATGAAAAAGCAAACACAAAAAACACATCGAAAAAGCAAGTCCAAAAAGCGAAAGCAATTTTCCACGGTTTCTTTTTTTTTTTTGCTTGCCTGCATTTTGTCTGTCTTTTTGTTTGTTTTTTTTGTTTTCGCTTGTTGTTTGTTATTTTTGATTTTTTTTTCTGTGTGTTCGATTTTTGCTTGTTCATTGCATTGTGGTTGTTTTTTTCCGCTTTTCGCGTTTTGTCTTTTCATGTGCATTGTTTTTGCTTTTTTGTTCGCGTTTTTTTGGTGCTTTTTTATTGCGATGTTTTTTCAAGTTTTTGTTTTCATCAGAGATAGCCTAAGTGGTTTTCTTGACTTTACAAGGACCTTTCAAAAGCATCCATATTGTCTGGCGGCATCTCTAAAACCAAAGGAACAACACAATAGATCCGAGACAAATGAGAACAACAAATTGCCCAACATTCTGCCTAGATGCTTTTGGATAGAGGCTGAGCTCAATGCGTGAGTTAAAAATGGTTTCCAAGTCGCTGCCCATTGACCTTCCAAGCCGCTCCTCACGGCTCTTGCCAATGTTTGACTGCCAGAAGTAAACACCATGAGTTCCGCAAGAATTTCGAACGCGGTTTCCCAAGAATTTCGAACCTTCGGTCATCTGTGCCAACACTGGGATGATTGCATGATCAGAGAGGTTCCTTCCCACGGCTGGTAGGTGGCGAAGGCATTCGATACCGTGCTTTCGCAAATGATGTTCATCTCCAATCCCCGACAGCATTAAGAGTTGCGGAGAAAGCAAGGCTCCAGCGCTCAAAATCACTTCCTTTCGGCATTGAATTTGAAGGATTTCGCCCGTTCGCAGTTCCAGCTCAACACCTCTCGCTTGAAGATTAGACTGTTCGAGCAACACTTTTCTACAAAAACTCTCACTTGCAACTTGGAAGGTCGGAAACTCTCGAAGCAAAGGCTCTACAAAGACGGAGAAACAATCTTGACGTCCTCCACCGGAACCATTTGTACACAATTGTACAGGTGCCACTCCCGACAGTTGTCCAGCATTGTAGTCCAACGTTCGTTGAGCGTCAGCATGTTCTTCGCAAGCCTTTATAAAGTCTTCCACTTCGGGCAGTGGAGGGAACAACTCTGCCACAGCTACAGGACCCTCCTTTCCGCGTGAATCTCCGTAGGAGCCAGTGACTTTCTCAATCGATTTGAAATGAGGCAAAACTTCTTTGTAACTCCACCCCTTGCAACCATACTGTTCTGCCCAACGATCAAAATCTTGTGGAGCACCATGCACCCAAAGATTGTAATTGATGGCGCTAGAGCCACCGGTGGTCTTCCCACGCTCAAGGTCGAGCACCCGACCTCTGGGCAACAAGTGCTGTTGTGGTGTTGTTCGAAAACCCCAATCGATCTCTGATTGCCAACATCGAAATGCATTCCGAGCCGTCTGAGTCAGCGCACATCGATGTGCTTCGCCTCCAGCCTCAATCAGAAGCACAGAAGCACCTGTTTGGGCCAACCGAGCAGCGCATGCACAGCCAGAACTGCCGGAACCCACAACGATGAAATCATAGGAATGCTTCAGGCCTAAGCTGAATATATAGCTGACTTATGCTGACTTGTCAGTCTTAAAGAACTTTTCTAGAGTTGGGGCAAAACCAAACAAAATCAGCAGTGAAGAGGTCTCAAGTCAAAGGTTGACATGGGGTGACTCTCTCCTTGCAAAAGAAACATATGTGTTGTGTGCTCTTTCAATTATTACAAACAGACAGCTTTAGTTTCGAACAAAACATTCATCAACGCTATTAGAAACAAGAAGCTACTAGGAACAAGTGCATCGCTTCTAGTAACAAGTGCCTTACTAGTAGTAACAAGAAGCTATTGGAAACAAGAAGTAAGGAAAGGTGTCAGTCCGTCCGTGTTTGGTTCCAAGAGACTGGACTTGGTTCCCACGAAGCGCTCCTCAAAGTCTGTCACTCTCAAACTCGGGTTGAAGCACAACGCCCGCTGCGGCGCTGTGCCCGGATGCCTGCCACAGGCCAAGAGCCATCGTCGCCAAGCCAACACACAGCGTCCTGTGGCTGAGATGCGTTGATCGGCTGCAGTTGACCATTGGTGACCATTGTGCTTGCAAACTGTGCCAATACTTACACATACACAACCGCATAGTATATAGAAAAATATATCGGTATATCAAGTGTGGGAGTGTATGTATTGTGCTTTTGTTTTTTCCTCTTCCCGTTTTGCAGGGTTTGCAACGTGCGACATCTCCAATTGCTTTCTACAGTCTTGGTAACTTGACTGACAAGCTGCAATTTTGGAGGTATTTGCCAAACTCAAGCTCGCCGCCTTTAGCTCTCACTGCAAAATGATATCATGCTAGCTCGAAAAGTGGGCACGTGCTACAAGTGAGGTTTGATATGCAAATGCTGATATATTGCTTTGTTATTGTTCTGAGGACGTTTGCGAAAACCTTACAGTCGAAATCAAGTCGTAAGCCTGGCTTCCGTCCTGCGAATGCCGGGAGAAGTGCCAAAAGAGCTCTGGTGAGGAGCGGCCAATTGCTCTTTCGCAGTCGCAGCAGCGCTACAAGGCACAGAGCTGTGGACACTGTGCCACGGGGCAGATCTGCCAGTCTCATGTGGCAACCGCTCGAAGATGTCCAATTCGACCCTTCAATGGTTTCTTCTCTTGCCAGCTTATGACTGCTTATGATACTATCATCAGACTTAAAACAAAAACTCGTGTTTCAAAAAGCCAACACGGCAGGGATGCACATAGTGCAATTAGAAGCACATGATCAACAGGATTCGACAGGCAACTGTGTGTGTGTGTCTGACACAGTTATCAGAATCAGAATTCAACATATATAGCAATGATCTCCAACCTACTAGCGATGGCCATGGCCTCCAACCTACTAGTGATGGTCTCCAACCTACTAGCAAATAAAGTGTAGAAAATAGAAACAAATACTCAGTACACTTTTGGCTGTGGGGCAAAGAGTGGTTTCGGCTCACTTTCGAGCTTTGAAACTGGCACGCCAAGCACCACGTCCGAGCTACAGTACTTGTCCACATCGTAAAAAGTCACGTTCGATTCTGTGCCAACACTTCGATATCCGTGCACCCAACACACATCATCAGTAAGAATCACAAGGTGGATGTGATTCGTCAGGATCACGCGATCCAGAGTCGATCGATAGGAGCAAGCCACACACAGAGAGGACGGATGGATCTATGCTAGATTTGGCTAGTCAAAGCAACAAAACAGGGTTGCAAAGGGTCATACAGTAGAGTTGATATTTGTGAAGCCAAGGGCAAAAAGAGTAAATCAGGAGGCGACGGGCAAGGCAACAACAGTGAAGAGTTCAAGCAATATATGAAAACAAAGAGGGAGGGAGAGAAAGAAATGTCAGACAAACACACTGGCACAAGTGATGCACGGCATCTCTGATACATCTTGTTGATTGGATTCATCGATGGGGACAAGTCTGATGCACATGCTTCACAAGAAAGCTGCAGGAGTTGTTGCAAAACTTCCTGATCCTGCCACCGTGTTAAACACAAACAAGTCAACTTTGTCACTTGTTTGTTCATCTTCCTGATTCTTCGGATCCTTTCCAATAAAGCATGAGTCTTTGGACACAAACGAGGCCCCCTGAGGCCTCAGTGAAACTCACAGCTGGACCGACGCCTGAGGGCAGTGAGCAAATACCATCACAAAAAATCGATATGACTAACGATATGATATGTATATATATATATAACTATTGTAACTAATTAATAGGTCTTTGGGTTGCATCTGTGTTTTTCCTCTTGTTGTCCTACATCCTCTTGACTGTTGGACTTGTTTTATCCTGTCTTTTAAGTTTCTGTTGGTTCTAAAGTTTGTGTTTTGTTATATATATATATTTTTAAACAGGCGTTCGGGTATGACGAGTAGTGAGACTGACTATAGTGAGTGATACCTAGAAAGTCTACTCCAAAGGGCACCGTTGTATAGAATAGTTGCACCAAGAGTCATGCTGGAAACACGTTCATTCCCTCTTCTTCAGACTTGAAACGTTTCTCTATTTCCTTATTTCCTTCCTCGCAGTCTTGTTTTCCTGCCAAATCGTGTCTGTGTGCGATTTGCTACTGCAAACATAAACAGCTGGATAGAATTCCATAACTTTGTTCAAAAACATTGAGTTTCATAACTTGGTTCAATTCATAACTTGGTTCAGGGTTTTAGGACGTATATGCACTCGAACCACACGCAGCGACAAGATTTCCAGCGGACTAAGTGACAGAATTCAAACCGCAAGGAGTGACCATCCAACCAAACCGCTGTGTGCCCTTTTCTGCAGACATGTGTTTCGGATCTTTTGTTTTCCTGGCCTGTCCACTCAGCAGATTCACTGCATCCTCCAATGATTGGTCACAAATCTCATCGGGAAGAAATACTTTCAGTAGAGACTCTGCTCAGGAGAAGTGACTAGCGATGGCCTCCAACCTACTAGCGATGGCCTCCCACCTAAATGCGATGGCCTAAAACCTAAATGCGATAGCCTCCAACCTACAATTGTCTCAATTTGTTAACGACGCTGTTCTGCACAAAGTAGGCACGTCCTCCAGGGTGAGACTTCTTCTGGCAGCCCACCTTCGCGCACAAAACCACTAGAAATCCTAAGAGCATCCTTGGCTATCCATGGCTGTCAAGCCTTTTCCCCAAAATGTGGATGTTGCAAACCTGGTGGGGGCTCGCTTCTAAGTCTCCTACATATGTTTGAACTATAGTAAAATTAGAATAAAATTAGAAACACCTGTATTTTACATAAGCAAGCAAGGTCAAAAACTTAAGGAACTGCAAAACGTAGCTAGCATGCAGGCTGGCGCGTGCGCTACTGGCTTCTAGCAATTGCTTGACTCTTGCAGCTAGTGGGCTATAGGAAGACTATACGCCAGGGCTTCAGCAAACGTGAATCAGAAAATAACTTGCTCCTAGTAGCTTCTTGTTACTAGTAGCGATGGCCTCTACCTAATAGCGTCCTTGCTACTATAATGTTTGTCAAAATTCTTTAACATTAGATGAGCCGTGTACCACTCATTGCGAAGTGCACTGTTTTCTAGCGTGGTGCTAGCGCAAGAAGTCGCTGGTACTGAGTGAGTGGCTGAGTGCGCAAGGGAGTGAGTGAAGGAGGGAGGGTGTGAAGGAAAAGAGGAGGAGAAGGAGAAGAGGAGAAACATTCTTTGGCAACGCACAAACACACCTACCAGCAAATCCTGGCCATATCAATCATAGAACCTAGCGCTGACTTGCGGAATCAATGTAGTCTGCTGGGGGCCCACTTCTAAGCCAAATATATATATATAATGTATGTTGCCCATGAAAAGTAACACTTAATCATGTTTTCTACTAAGGGGTTTTGAACGCAATTCGACATGACCCCAAACAACTAGCAGAAACCGCAGCGTTGAAAGCCAAGGCTGCAGCTCTGCAGGGTGCATATCGAATCCCAAGAATGTGAGCTGCTCCAGAATGGTCAGTCCTGGACAGCAAAGGACTGTGCAAATTTATATAACTAATTTGATGAAAAGTGTCGGCAAACGCAAACAGGTGACAAAGATTGCTGCTTGGGATTGTATTTAGAGACATAACTGAAATAACCAACGAATTGCAGCCCATAGGACACTGTTGATGCGAAAAAGAACAACCTCTGCGCGCTCTCATACCTTTCTCAACCAGCCTTCTGGCATGCTCATGGGTGTTGGGTATGATGCCTTCAGCACATTCAGCAATCACATACAGAAAAAAGGAAACTTGGTGCATCTTGGTGCAAATTCTCGATTCTTTTAGATGCATGTTCTTTCACCGGGTAGTGAGATGATTTGTGTACACGCCAACTACATCCAAGTGTGAAACCATCCGTTGACTTCTCGAAAACACGCCTGTAGCGGTGGAACAGCCGCAGCCCGGAAGCCTCTCCAGGATTGAACGATTTACAGTTGCAAAGACTTACTAAGCACGTATACTTACTAGTACAGTTGTTCAATCTGAAAACAATACTTTGGCTGTTGGAACAGTGTTGTTGTGCTGAAAATACTTGTGGCAGCAGTTGCACATCTGTGATTCGACCTTGATAGTAGCACATGCCTGTCATAGAAAAGCCAGCCCCGACACTTGAGATTTCAAGAGGGGCCTTGCGACGAGCCTGTTTGAAGGCCCAAGACGTCCTGCCCAACTTCGCAACAAAAGCCAAAGGGCAAAAAGGCTTGAGACTCTCAAGACTTCCCCAGATCTCTCATTCACCTAATAGCAATGGCCTCCAACCTACTAGCGATGGCCTGCAACCTACTAGCCATGGCCTCCAACCTAGTAGCGATGTGTTGCTAATGCACAAAAATGTCCGACAACTTGTTGTCCCAACTAGCCTCAGACGTGCCATCCCGCTTCGGCTCCTAAAGAATGCAACTGTGCTCTTTAACCGTGATGAAGGCTCAAAGACCATTAAATATAAATTATCAAGTCATCAATGATTTTGTGACCCAAAGTCGTCACTGCAACCACTGGCAGCCACTCTTTTTTCTATCAAAGGTCTTCGCTTTCGGGCCTGTGCAGTGGCGCAGTTGCGTGTTGTGCAAGAAACCCATTCCTTTCGTCTCGTCTCCATCGTTTGCCGGCCTTTCTTTGGGCAAGGGACCCATTGAGAAGTCATCTGATAGGTATGTTGCGGTTTCCTCCCACTGGTCCTCCAAGGCGTCGCCCGAGTCCTTGCGGGCGAAGAAAGCTAAGCAGCTAAAAAACCTTTACAACCTTTCGTCCACTTATAAGTTGGGTCTATCCTAATACCTGTAACAGTGGATGATGATGGTTCAGTTGCAGGCCTGGCAGGCCTTGTTCAGAAATAATTAGTAATATATATATATGTATTTGTTTACTGACTGTTACAGGTAAGCACGATACGATACGACATACAGCCTTGGGACCGGCAGCCGTAGACTTTGCACTTTGCAAATGGCATCTTGGGATGATGCACTTTACCATGCGATGCTCCGCTTGAACCAAAGCTAAGTTACAAGTGGATCTAAAAGCAACATGATTCATGCTGGTCTATCAGTCCTCTTCGAGGTCTAGCTGCTGCAGCACCTTGTCTTTCAAGAGTTTATCGAAGGCGGGATGTCTCCTGGCACCGGTATTGAAATAAACAACTAACTAAGTTAGATCAAGTAATTTAGTAACAAAATGGACAGTATTCATATCTTCCTCCATGTTTCAGTACGGGCCTGCTTAGTGGCGGTGTGAAAGGGTTGTCCAGCAGCTTCAACACTCCTCAAATTCAACAGATTCAACGTGGTGTTGCATCCTTCTGTGATTGTTTTCACCTCCGTCCACGTGTCTAAAACAAAAGAAGCGAAGCAGCACCTAATGGGCCAAGAAGCGAAGCTTGGACAGTCCCTCAAAAACATCTTTCGGAAGCATCTCCAGCCTGGCAAAAGCTGAAATGAAAGCAATCAGAACAAAAAAATATCACTGCTTGTTGTCAGCAACTAAGGATCTGACTTGTTGTGATGCAAAAGCAACACCTGTGCTCTATAGCAGCAATACACATGCAGCAACTCACGATCAAAAACTAAGTTGCACTCCGTCCTGCAAGCTGGAAAGCCCTTCGAACAGTTTCGGATGAAGATGCTGAAGTCGGTTTCCAGCTACCTCCGTCAAAATCCATGACATGACTCTTGTTTGCATCACCTTGATATTGTTGGAAGTGACAATCCGCACCAGTTGTCTCTCTTTGCGTTGGCGCCTTCATTTTTTTGTAGCCTTTCTCGCCCATTTGATAATGGTTTCCAGTAAGCCAAAGGACCTTGAGCTTGGAAAGCCCTTGGAATGCATCTTCCTGAGCACACGCTGAGCACATCCTTCTGTGCTTCCAATCCTCCTTCAAGCCCAAACCGGCCAGCCGGCCAAGCAATGCCAAGTGTCTGGTAGTTCTTCCAACTCATTGAACTCCAAATTCCTGGAGTTGGAATGAATGCAAAGAAATCCTTGAAAAAGGTACAATAATTTTGGTTGGAGGCCACCGCTACTAATTAGGTTGGAGGCCATCGCTCTTAGGTTTGAGGCCATTGCTATGACTATAGGTAGACTCAGATCGTTTTTGCTGCGGCATCCAAGGCACAAAACTCGCAGTCGTCGAGGAAGGCTCCGACCTGGAAGTTGCCGCAGTCGGCTTTCAGACAGGTCCTTGCGGGAATGACACCGCAAACTAAAATATCATCGCGTGGATCTGGCTTGCGGCACCAGCTTTGCATTGCGCAGGCTACGAAGCAGCTTTTGAAGATGTGATGATCTCTGCAATGCACGTGTGAGTTTGCATCGACATGCTGTATTTTGGATGTGCAAACCCAGAGCGTCGACCCTTGGAGAGAAGTACCCCTTGTACAAACATAGCACAAACGGCATGCTGCGTATGTCCGTACAAAACCAACCTTGTCTAAACTCCCGTCCTAATTAGTCAACACAGGAGAAACTTATAGAAACTGCCCATCCGCTTTTACAGCGGCCGGCACATATGAACAGTCATCTTTGAATAGGCAAACAAAAAGCGAAGAACGTATGTCTTATAAAGTATACCTTAGTTTCCGTTGCGTGAAGCCCAAACTAAGCCGTCCAGGCGGCGAACGCTTGGAGGTATGGCTTGCAGCCCAGCCTGCGACTTTGTGTTCCTAAAGGGCCACCAGTCTCCCTCAAATACAAAAGCTACTAGTAACAAGAAGCTACTAGGAGCAAGGACCCTACTAGGCATCCTCATAATCCTCATATACTCGTCCCTCTGATATAAACATCTTCGAAGCCTTCTTCAGGAGTTGCGATTAATGGTATATAGTTATTTAGAACTATGCAAAGAAACATATAGAATAAACTCTTTTTTGGCTTGCTTTGATGATTTAATGACATAGACTCGGATCTGTTTGACTGCAGTGCCTGCTTTTGTTCCAGGGGCAAGTGCCGTAGCTTTGGGCTGTGGATGAAAAGGCAGTCCAGGCCTGCAAGCACTCCGGCACAAAAAGACATCTTCCCAACTCCAAAACGGCATTCACTGTGCTCTTGTTCCTTTTGATCCCAGGCGGCAAGGTCTGCGAGACTGGAACACCGGGCATCTTCTCGTAGCCCAGCAGTCGCACTACAGTAGCAGCTCGCAGCTCTCGCAGCAGCTTCCAGATTGCTCGTTGCAGAATTTAAGTCGGCTTCTTGTCCAAAGCTACTGCCATCCACTGCCACTCAGCAGAATTCGATGAGGTCCAGCGGTGCGACGAGAGCCAAAAGAGGCTGGGCTGACTGAAATAGGCATGACTGCATGACCAATATCGGCCTTTCATACCGGCCTAAGGGGCTGTTCTGCACACCACAAAAGACTGTCTCTGGCAAATTCATTTCCATTTGCTCTTCGGAAAGGGAGTGCACTGTAACGCTTCCCGTCCCACTTCTGCAGAATCTCTTGAAAACTAGAATACGGTGAATAGATAGGGTATCTTCCCTGCAGCTCTCCCTTTGGATATGACACTGCACGCACCACCAAATTGCGCCCTGTCTTCTCTGGCCAAAAGCCACATTCCAAATGAGTGTCCTTCACATCTTTCATGAACATCTTCAAAAGCCACCTAAGGAACCTCTGCTTTGGAAGTTTCACGGCCAGGGATGCAGCCCCTGGGATACAACGCTGAATCAAGCTCCGGAATTCCAAGAAACCTTCCTGCGACAGTGTCACATAAATCGAAGATTGGTACAGGTCTCGTGGTGCTGGAAGGGGCTGTTTCTTTGAGACAATCTTCCTGGCACTCCAATTGTGGAGTTTCTTGGCCAGCCAGGAAATGGGAATTTCTTCTTCCAAAGGCCGAGTACGCCACTCAACGCAAACAACATCAATGTCTTGAAAACGGCCGTAGACGGGGCAATTGGGATCTTCTCGATTCCAGGCTTGACCAGTGTACACAGTTGACTTGTGGGGCTTATGAACGAAGAACGCGTTGAAAGCCTCAGACCAATCCTTCCAGTTCAATGCACACAAAGCCGAAACAATACAAATCGTGATTCGCCCGTAGCACTTCACCATTCACACAATCCATCCAGCTCGTTCCATGACGATCGCTGGTGTCGCACTGGGCTGGAGACTTTTGCTTGCAGCCGAAAGTCTGCTCGGAGATGCTATGAACGTTGTACACAGCCATGACAGCCGAAAGTCTTGCTATATCTTGCTATGTTCTTCTTTTGACTATACCTTTGTTACAAAGGGGTGGATCCAGCATAGAGCGAGCTCTCTGGAAAAATATGTTGGAGTGTGCAAACCGGTTGAATGTGCCACCAGACTGGAGCACTTCAATTCAAAGCTTTATGATCAAAACAACACCTATGATATGATATGTGTTCTTTTGAGGACCTTGGGATGATTTAGTTAGAGTACAGCTAATATTGAAGATACACTCCACTCATGACTTGTCCACATATCGTCAACGCATATCTAAGGCATGCATCTGGTATCCTAATCGACCCGCCTTCAGGGTACTGCTCTCCTTTTGGAAAGCCAGCAATGAGATTTCGACATGTCACGGTCATGCCGCAATCACCACCACCAGGCCTCAACCATGATTCGGAATGGACCATGTCACAGTAATGTGTTCCACGGCATTCGAGATCAAACCGGCAAGAGCAGCCGTTCTGCAAATAACCCGTTCTTCAAACATTTGCATCAATCATCTGAGTCATCTGAGTGTTTGACCCCTTCGAACATTTACATCCGCTGGGGCAAGTCTTCCCGGCAGCTGGAACCAGCAAGAGCAGGAGCAGCCAAGCCATGGCCATCAGAATGGTTGTCCTACTTTAATCATCTTTCATCAGTGCATTCCTCCGAATTGGTACGTTTCATTTCAGAATCCATAGTTTTATGTAACTCAACCTGGATGCTGCCTGAACGTGGCTCACAATGTGCTCGTTGTCTGCACCAACAACAGGGGCTCTTCACACGCTTGAAAGCCCTGAATCTTGTCAATCATGAATCATGAGTAAATTGAGTTCATGTGACTTTTATTTGATGATATTTGATGCCTATGCCTATTAGGTTGAGAATGAGATGAGATTGCAGCTGTCTTCCCGTGGTGCTCTGGAAGATGCAGAACTCGTTCTGAGACTTGGGCTCGCGAGGCACTGCTGAGTCCAAGCCCCACGTCAAAGAGATCATCACCTGGGAGACAAAGGTCCGAAGGTCAAAACACCTTTGTTAACTTATCATGGCATGCTTTTTGTTGAAAGAATAATCAACTTGTCATCCAAGGACATATTACTGTAGCATGTTCTGATGCATCATGCATCCAATATGGCCGACTGGTGTCTATAAATTCTAGAGACATACAGTCCAAACATCTCTACACTGTATATATTCAATCAGATTTCACAGCTGGTTTCCCAAGAATAAAGTCTTCGATTGCTGCCTGTTCATCTTAGAATCAGACATGTATCTGGCACTGAATCACTCCTGGGACTGGGGGAGTTGCAGGAGTGAGAGAAAGCCAATGTCACTTCTCATGGATCTCCATTGCAAATCGCTGTATGTATATATCATGATTTATGATCAAAAAGCTGCTTGAACTCTGAGCCGTAGGCTTTCTTGGTTCACCTGACTCGTCCATCTCCTAAGTTGCGACGTTCCCGTGTTCAATTGTGATGGCCTCCAACCTAGTAGCAATGTATTAATGTTCTATTTATTAATGTATGTATGCTGGATATGCTGGATGATGTTGAATTGGCTTCATCCGCTGGGCAACGGGCATGCTGCAACTCTTGTACTGCCTAGCAGAAAGGCGGAGCCGGCGGAGCAGAAAAGAAGGAATGCTCCAAGTTCGAAAGTTCCAAAGGTCGTCACAAACAACACAAACAAGGCATACAACACAAAGGATCAAACGTATCAAGTGATCAATCCCTAGCTCAGCTCGTTTCTTCCAGCTATCAGATCTATCAGCTATCAGCGATACTTACTGCAGCCATTAAGCGGCCTCAAATCATGGAAGGTCTGCCCCTCACTCCGCCTCACCGTGTCACCCCTCGAGACGGACTTCGCCTGGCTCCAGTCTCTGAGCTCTTTGGCCAGAAAGTCTGCAGCCTCTTCCAGGAACCACCTCACAATCTCTCACAGAATCGATTTAAGCCTTGGCACAATACCTCCGGACACCATATCAAACCACAAACCTGGGCCACTCTCTGATCACAATTCGGTTTCAAAAGGATGACTGTTGGCATGTTTAAACATTACATAACATTACTTTGTGTTCAGAGGATATCCAACAGTCTTTCTGAAAGCACCTGATGAGGCTAAGATTATTTTTGCAACTCTTGCCATTCAAGACCCTCCAAGAAGCCAACATCGGCCGCACACCGTTGTGGCCACCTTCGAAGACTCGAAAGTGCCTGCGGCAAAGCAACTGGAATGACAAAACAAGTTGCTGCGAATGATGAAAGTTTGAAGAATCCAAAGCAAAAACAAATACTCCGAACTACTAGGGATGGCCTCCGACCTAATAGCGATGGCCTCCA